AAACCCAATGAGTGGTTCTTCAGATATCAGTGGAACAGTCATGGAACAGCTAAAAATCAGCTAATTATCATGCAAATTAGGTAATTAATATTCATAGATTTTTACCAAAACCTAATCAACTCTGCGCATTATCCCAGAGTATCTATGTACCAAGTTTCACCAAAATTTGATTAGTGGTTCTTGAGATAACAGTGGAACAAAAAAAGTGACATACATACATACATACATACATACAGACAGGGTAACTGCAAAGACTCCCTTTTGTGCTTCGCACACGGGAGTCAAAAAGGAGCAAATCACTAAAAAATTCTTTTTTTTGTAGGATTATGGGGGCTTGTTAACAATGCTGGTATCTCAGGGATATCCTGTCCATATGAATGGCTACAGAAAGAAGACTACCAACAAGTGATCAATGTGAATTTACTTGGCATGATAGATGTCACGACAATATTTCTACCATTAGTCAAGAAAACCAAAGGGAGAATTGTCAATATCACTAGTTCCTGTGGTAGATATGTTGTGCCAGGCGGTTGCTACTCTATCTCGAAATTTGGTGCTGAAGCCTTCTGTGATGGACTAAGGTTGGTATCCCCAATAAAATTTTATGTTTTTGAATGTACGATAAACCCGTTTGCCTTATTACACTGATTCAGATATTTACCAAACATCAGCAATTTGCTTGTTTTTGTTTTTTTCAAAATGTCCTAATTTTGTTCACTCATTTTCAGGCAAAAATTATTTCCCATTAAAATTCAATGTTTTCCACCCAAAATATGGTAAATAATTAGAAATGTTCCATGATGCAATAGTGAAATATGGACAAAATGTCCTAAATGAATTTTGAGACTTCAAAACAGTCTGGTATGTTCAACACAAAGGTTTTGGTTTCCCATGACCAGGCTATTATTAGCCAGGAATTTGCAACTGCCAGTCCAAAACAATTAAACTTCATGAGAATGTAGATGGTTTTGGATATATTTTGGTAAAATTATCAAAGAACAATAGGAAAAAACAGAAAAATGGGAAAAAGTTGCCAGTCCGTTTGACGAGTGGACTGGTGGCTGGATAACACCCTGCCCATGACTATTACTTAAAAATGTTCAAGAAAATTATTCTCATTACTGGTAATATAAAAACATAAAAGGTTAAAGCCATGACATATATTATCAAAGTGTTTTGGATCTGTGAGTACCGTATTCTATAACTATGGTACTGAGTTGTTCTGAACCTAAATTAAACTGTTGAAAAAAAAAAAGAAGCAGTAGTTGTAAAGTACAATAATAGTTAAATAATTTGGCATCATAGGTAAATCTTAGTGAACACAGTCATCAGCTCAGCAGGACAGCATACTTGTCCAACTTATCAGCCAGGGTTCTCAGCTCCAAAAATTATATGTTTCAGGTCGGTGAGCCGAGTACCTCCCTTGAAAAATGCAAATGACAATTTTAATTCTCAAGGGGAATATAATTTATTGCATCTGTTTGGGGAAAATTAAATTGCAAAATTTCTTCATCAAATCAAACAGGAGTGGTTACAACAAATTTTATTATATATATTAATTCACGTACATTGTATGACCAGAATTTACGATGTTAAAATTATTAGGGTCTGTGGGAACACAGTCAAAATCAAAATTGTCATCATTATCTTCAATATCGAATGTGTTCAATCATGTGCGAACTCTTAATGCAAAGAAATTTATACCATGATTTATTCTTGCATGATATCATAAGGCAAGTCTGTTATTGACCATTCAGAATACTGTGCTTTACAAAGGTGATTTTCTGGAAATTACGGCAGGCATTCTGGTAACACAATGCAGAAGTGAATTATGGGCTATCTGTACTAAAAGTACCGGTACTATCTGTTGCAATTGACTTCAGCGAAAAACTGGCTTGATTTTAGCCAAATGTTCCCACAAAAATAGAAATACCCCCAAAGTGTGGGGGTGGGCACTTAGTCAAGCATGAGTACTAAAGTCAGTAATTTTAGCCTAAGAATGCTAATACATGTATATGTCTTATAGAATAATGCTTCATCCATTTGGTGTACGTGTCCACATCATAGAGCCTGGGTTCTTTGCTACAAATATACTCGATGAAGATAAATTACTTGGACATATCACTCGTATATGGAATAAATTACCCAAGGAAATCAAGAAAGAGTATGGAGACAATTATGTGGAAGAATGTAAGTAATTAAAAATAAAAGTTTTCGTTTATTAATATTTAATATTAGCATTATAAGTTGTTTTCAAAGCAATCCTTCTTGACCACTGTATTGCTGTGTTTAATTCTGTTTGTTAACTCCATTCCAAGTCAGCTCAAATCATGCGTCAATTTACATCATTTTCTATTTTCGTTTCAGTTAGATCATCAACAAAGGATACCGTTACAAGATTGGTGTCACCACGGACTGATAAGGTCATCAATGCGTTTGAACACGCGCTCACATCATGGTGGCCACGTACTCGGTATATTGTTGGATTTGATGCTAATTTCCTACTGATTCCTATAACATTTTTACCGGCTTTCATAACTGATGTTTTACATCGTGCTATAGCTAAACAACCAATCCCTGAAGCATGCACCAAACGATAAGAATAATCGGAGACAATTTAGAAAGATGATGTAATGATCAGACAATTTAAGTCACTAGATGTAATGAGACACAATTGAAATCACCAGATGTCATGATCAGACACAATTGAAATCACAAGATGTCATGATCACACGATTGAAATCACTAGATGTCTTGATCAGAAAATCAAAATCATTAGATATGATCATGATCAGACACAATTGAAATCATTAGATAGACAGCCAAACAGTTGAAATCATTAGATATCATTGTGATCAGATGCAATTGAAACTACTATATACAGCTACGTGAAAGCATTGATGTCTCACCTGCAGAATGAATGATCACAGTTCCCAAGAGTCGACGGATCTTTTAAAATACTATGGCTGAAGAAAATAAACATGAAAATGAATTAACTAAAATAATTGAATCCTGATAAACTCTATTGATTGGTTTGTTGGAGACGATGTTCCTCACCATGAGTGAATGCAAAATGGTATACACTAAAGATGTCAAGTCAAGAAGATATTGAATATATCATTATTTTCACATAATCGTGGACAATAAATCTCTATTTGGATAAAATCAAACACAGTGTTATCATTTTATTCAAATGCCGCAAAAGAACACAATGGAATGTGAATGTGTGAAGGTCGGTTTTCAAAACTGCCTCTGATTAATCAGATGACAAAATAGGTGTTTACAGAGCCAGATTTATCTGATGAAATTGTCCATGTCCAATATTTTCAAAAAATGAGACCAGACATCAGACTTTGAGGTTTACGACTGATAAATCTGATCGTGAAATTAAATTATAGATCTTAAAGCAAACATCATGGCATTGATATACAAATTAGTTATTCAATGTATCACATACATGTACCCTAGGGTCTGTGTATGTACAAAGTAAATAATGCACCAGTCAATATAAAACTGAGCTTCTCCCTCCCTGAGGCAAGTATAGCGTAAGGACCAATCTTGGGACAATGATACTCACAGCAGTCCCAGAGAATCAGAATAATTCCGTTAAAGAAACAAGGAAACAAGTCAGGACAGCGCCTCGACTCGCGGATGTTCGCGGATGTTTCAGGAACAGGAAGAATATCGAAATTGTCCTTGTTCTCTAATATTCAGAGGTGGGGGCGGTGGCGGTTTGAATTGACTGGCATATACATGTAAGAGAAAGAGAAGGGAGACTGTTCATCAGGGATTTGTGAAGGCCATGGACTGGTGCATAAATTTGAATGCAAATTAGCAAAACAACTTGAAAAACTTAATTATCCATGGAAGAATGATTCACGTTCGATTCAAAATATGATATATATAAACTTTTGTGTAAATTATAGATATTTCAATGTGCACGTCAATCAAACGCAAATCGTACATCAATCGTACGGGAATCGAACCAAACGCTGTCTTCACACTCGTCGTAAAGCACTGTGTTGATCAGAACCGAACGCTGTCTTCACACTCGTCGTACAGCACTGTGTTGATCAGAACCAACTAATAGAATTAGCCCCGCGTACAGACCTATAGGTTAGCCTCCTCCCTCTGTACTCAGGGCTAGATCAGAATGTGTGTGTAATTGTAAATAAAACTGCATTCCCGCTATGACAACAGTTTCACTCCGATAACATACCATAAAGGGCATTCAAGTGTGCTCTCTAAAACGCCCAATGCTTTCTTTGTTTGTTCCCAGCGATTAGTTTCGTCTTCCATAGTTGTACAATGTCACAAGATCGCGAATGCTCGGTGGAGAAGTTCATACAAAATAATCATCCAAATAACCCGCCATAATGGATGCGCAATAGGAAACTGCGCAACGTGTGCGTGAGAAAACGAAGTCATCGTCAGGAACGGTTTGTGGTGGCGACGTTTGACAAGAACTTTATTTGTGGGTAATAAGACAGGAACCCGACGAAAAGTGAGCATTGAGGCGAGCCGATTTGAGTTTTCTCTGCCAATCGTAGGATGGACAGTTGTAAGGTTATGACCCGACTTGCCAAATAAAAACAAAAGCCACACTTGCATAAGTCCCTTTACGAGTTTAATGCATACGAAGGATGGAAGTAAAAAAATAATACATACATATGCATAGTAAAGAAGAAAAAACATAAAAAGAAGTTTAAACTAAATTCAATACAATATAGAAACCTGGAGGAAAATAGTAGTAATAATAATAATATTAACGAAGATAAGATAACAAAAGAAATACTAACATTAATATATATACTGTATTACCAGAGGTACATTACTTGGGGTTTGCAACGCGCATAGTACTGTATGGTGACATCATGTCAAGATCCCATTCAAGTCTCATCTCGTAGATAGCGAGACTGATGCTACGACCTTCTGACATGACAAAGACGGTTTGTAATAAAACAATATACCACATGTGTTACCACATTCATAGTGAAAAAATGTAATACATAAAAAATGTACAGAAAATATAGTTATCGTAATCCGTCATATCGTGAGCAGCTATTTTGATCCACCTGGACATCCCAGTAACCTAGTTACCTCGGGCATGCGCATTCGAATTTTTCTAAGTTGGAACGCTTATGCGAGAGCGAGATTGGAACGGGATCTTGGTATCATGTCACCGTAGTTGCAAACCCCAAGTAATGTACCTCTGATATTACTAAATTCCACACTTCAAATAATTAGAGGCATTAAATAT